GGGACTGCGCGGACCTGCGGTTCATTCTGGACTTGTCCCGTCTGAACCCCTGGGTTCATTGCCCCTCCTTTCGGATGACTACGCTGTCTCAGGTTCGGCTCCTCTTGGAGCCGGGAGCTTGGATGGTGTCCCTGGACCTCCGGGACGCTTCTTGGCATGTCCCGATTCATCCGCGGTTCAGGGACTGGCTCGGTTTTGTAGTGGGGCGTCTGAGTTACCGCTTTCGTTGTCTCCCGTTCGGGTTGAACCTGGCACCTCGCGTGTTCACACGCCTTACACGGGTTGTGGTGGCTCGTTTGCGTCTCCTAGGTGTTCGGGTGTTGGCCTACCTCGACGACTGGCTGGTTTGGGCTCCCAGCCAGTCAGCTTGCTTGCTAGCCAGGGTTTTGGTTCTTTCCCAGCTCGCCGGGTTCGGGTTCTTGGTGAACTGGAGGAAGTCCCATCTGGTTCCCTCTCAGGTTCGGACTTGGCTGAGTCTCGTGTGGGACTCTCGAACCGCCTCCTTGTCTCTCCCTCCGGAGTCTCTCCTGCGGCTGCGGTCCCGCCTTCGTCTGTTTCTGGAGGGCCCTCGGGTCACCCGGCGGTTGCTCGAGGGGCTGTGCGGGAGCCTGAACTTCGCGATGGTGGTCTACCCGCCGGGTCGGGTTTGGCTTCGACGGCTGTTCTGGTTCCTTCGGGGTTCCCCCTTCCGCCTCTCTCGCGATCGCAGAGTTCGACCCCCGGGGGACTTGCGTCGGTTGCTGCGTCACCGGCTTCCTCTTTGGGTTTTTCGGGGTTCAGTGCCTTGGCGCGCCTACCCGAGCCCTCGCTCGCTGTGTACACGGATGCGTCGTCTCTCGGCTGGGGTTTTGTGACCAGTGCTCACCAGGCCGGCCAGGGGCGTTGGGATCCGTCCTTCCGTCGAGCTCACAGTACGGTGCGGGAGTTCGCGGCAGTGTGGTTTGCTCTGGGGAGGATTCGGGTGGCCCGCGGATCGACGATTCGGCTCCATTCGGACTGCTCTCCGGTGGTTCATTGCCTGAACCGCGGGGGTTCGATGCGGTCCTTGTCTCTTTGGGGTTGGTCGCTTCGGGTGACTCGTCTGCTGAGTTCTCGGGGTTTGGCTCTCCTGGCGGTTCACGTACGGGGCGTGTCCAACGTCTTGGCCGACGCCCTGTCTCGCTTCGTTCCCCTCTCCACGGAGTGGACGGTCGACGACGAGTCCTTCCGTTGGCTTTGCCAGACGTACGGGCGCCCCGAGGTGGACCTCTTCGCATCGGCGTGGTCGCGGCGTCTTCCAGTTTATAAGGCGCCCTTCCCCGATTGCGAGGCCGTCGGGGTCGATGCCTTTCGGCTCGACTGGTCGAGGTGGGGGGTTCCTGTACCTCTTTCCCCCGGTTCGGCTGTTGCTCCAGGTCCTGACTCGCTTAGAGACTTACTGGGGAAGAGTTGTCCTTCTGGCCCCTTGGTGGCCGGCCCAGCCTTGGTTTCAGGCGCTGGTTGCTCGGTGTCCGAACCCGAGGGTTTTCCCGCGGCTCCGCCTCTTTCAGCAGATCGGGCCGGTACGTCACGTAGCTGGTTCGATCTTCTCCTCGAGTCTTCGCGTATGGTTTGTTTTGACTCGAGTCTATCATCATCTCTATGGTGATCAGGTGGCCTCCTTGTTGGTGTCCCACCTGAGGGCTTCTTCTCGGCGGCAGTATGAAGTTTCCTGGCGGTCCTTCCGTTTCTTTTTGCGTCTTCGTCGTCTTAGCTCCTTGTCTGATCGGGTGGTCTTGTCCTTCCTCTCGTGGTTGTTTCAGGACCGTCATCTTATGCCTAACACTGTCGCTTCGTATCGTGCGGCGCTGGCGGAGCCGCTTCAGCTTGCTTTCGGTATCGATGTTATGTCTGCGCCGTTTCGCAAGCTGTCTCGTGCATTGTTTCACCTCCGGCCTGCTCATGCGTCGCCTGAGCTGTCCTGGTCTTTGGACAGAGTGCTCGCTTTCCTTTCATCTCCTCGTTTCGTTGTGGCCCCTTCGGTCCAGGATTGTTTTTCCAAGGCACTTTTCTTGTTGGCTTTGGCCTCTGGGGGTCGGGTAGGGGAGCTTCATGCTCTCCTCCGGCGCAGGGGTTTCTGCTCTTTTGGTCGTGGTGATAGTTTTGTTCGTTTGCAGCCGTCTCCTTCTTTTCTGGCGAAGAATGAGACTGCTGCGTTCCGGAGGGGTCCATGGGTGGTTGATGCTTGGTTGGTCAGGCCGGGGGTGCATCATGTTTTGTGTCCGGTTGCGGCGCTTCGCCATTATTTGCGCGCCACAGCTTCTGTGTCCGGGGACGCGCTGTGGGTTGATCCGGTTTCCCTTCTTCCCTGTTCGCGGGTTCGGGTCTCTCAGGTCGTCCGCAGGGTTATTAGGTCCAGCCAGCCTGCGGTCTATCCCCGTGCCCATGACGTTCGTAAGTTCGCGGCTCTTGCTGCCGTCTTTGGGAATATGTCTTGGTCTGATATTCGGGCGCGGGGATTTTGGCGGTCGAACAGGGTCCTGGCTGCTCGTTACCTTGTGAATGTCCCTGGGCCTCGTCGGGCCTGTGTTGCTTTGGGTCGGCGGTTGCAGCCAGTTGTCTCGGCTTCGAGTTGAGGGGTGAGCGACGACCGCCTCCCGGGTAAGTCCCTCTTTTTCTGTCCGTGGGTAGTTAGGTCCGGGGAGCCGACGGGGCTCCCCCCAGAAAACCAGCGTTGAATGTAATGAAACGCCATTTTCTGGGTGAGTCCCGGAGGCTCCCCGGCATCCCTCCCTCCCTCCGGTCGGCGGTTTTTCGCGTTTTTGACATCCAGCCTCAAGAACTGAGGTGTGGGTAGCCGGCGCGGGGGGTCTGGGGCTCCCCCTTCCCCCTCCCGGGGAGGGGGGAGCTGCGCAGACAGCGGCGCGGCAGTGTGTGACGTCACACTAGTTTGCTTGTTTTCGGTTGGGGAGTTCTATCCACTAGTTCGGTTTTAGGTAGCAATTTTAACCAGAATAGGGGTTTGTTTTGGGGCGCTTACCTTTCTGGGTGCCTGTTCCGGTCGATGGCAGACATAGAATGCTTCCAACTACACGGGGGCTTCTATAGGCCATTGCTCCCCTTGCCTCTCTGAGGGGGCCCGGTTCTGGCCGTGGTCCCCGGTAGGCCTAAGAACTCCATACACATGACTGATGCCAAAGTCTGACATTAGCATATCAGCCTGGGATAGCTCCGGGGAGCCTCCGGGACTCACCCAGAAAATGGCGTTTCATTACATTCAACGCTGGTTTTTTGACACAATCGACTTGAGAATGGTCCAGGACGGAGCGAAACGTTGTCGTCCCTTCACCTTCTAGTGTGTGGTCTGGTCAACTTACTTTAGCCACGTTATTGTGACTCATGGCCTGCACTTTGCAGCCTTTCTCTGTCCTTCTGGCGGCATTCGAGGTGGCTGCTTACCGGGGGAATGTCCTTGGGTTATTGTTGCTTGCTTGGTTTGGCTGGGGGTGCGTCCTGTGTTGTCTGGTTGCGCTTTTTGCCGTTACCTGCGTACCGTGTCTGGGGATGCGCTTTGGGTTGATTCGGTTCCCCTGTTCCCTGTTTCAGGGCTTTAGTCTCCCAGGTCGTCCGCAGAGTTTTTAGGTCTTCCAGCCTGCGGTCTATCCTTGCGCCCGTGCTGTTCGGATGTTTGCAGCTTTCGCTGCTGTGTTGGTGACGTCTAGGGCTCATTTCAGGTGTGAGGATTTGAGGGTAGCACAGGTTCCTGGCCGCCCGTTCTTTAAGCACACGTCTGCTCCTGTGCATTCTTGTTGCCTTGGGTCGCAGATTGCAGCCTGTTGTCTCGGCTTCACGTTGCAGAGTTTGTGGCGGTCGCCTCCCGGGTCAGCCCTTTCTTTTCCTTCTCTTTGGGTATGAAGCTCCAGGGAGCCGTAGGGGCTCCCCACAGAAAACCAGCGTTGAATGTAATGAAACGTCTTTTTCTGGGTGAGCCCCGGAAGCTCCCTGGCAACCCTCCCTCCCACCGGTCAGTGATTTTTTCACGTTGGTTGAAGCTTAGCTTTCGAACTGATGCTAGGCAGCCAGCGCTGTGAGGTCCGGGGCTCTCCCCTTCCCCTCTAGGCGCGGAGAGGGCTGCGCGGACGACCGGCGCGGCAGTAAAGTGTGATGTTTGCTTGTTTCCTTGGGATTGTAGGGAGTTTCTACCTCTCTGTTCATTTTTTCGTTTTAGTTTTTTACCATGTGGGGTTTGTTTTGTTATGCCTACCTTTCTGGGTGCCTAACCCCGGTCAATGGCAGATATGGAAAACCCCAACCACAAGGGGGTTTTCCAGGGCCATTGCTCCTTGAGACCTCTCTGAAGGGGCCAGGTTCTGGCTCTGGTCCCTTGTAGGTATGAACTCCTTAGCTAATGTCCCGGTCTAATATAACATACATTAGCCCGATAAGCTCCAGGAAGCCTCTGGGACTCGCCTAGAAAATGGCGTTTCATTACATTCAATGCTGGTTCTTTACTTTGATCGTAATTTCATTCTCATAATTTCTTTCCAATACTCTCCTTATATTAATGTATTCGTTCCTAGCTCTGTTGCATCTATTCCTGTTGTCCTTTGTCCATTCTCTGTACTTTCTCCACTCCTTCCTACTTCTCATTTTTGCTTTATGGCACTGTCTGTTAAATCATGGCTTATTATATTCCCTCCTGCTTTTTTCCCTTTGAGTTGGTATAAAACTCTCTTCGGCCTCTTTGCATTTCCACATGAGTAGGTCCATCATATTTTGTACTGTTTTTCCTTTCAGTTCTTCCTCTCACTGCAGTTCTCCCAGATACTGTATTCCCTAACCTTCAGTAATCCTCTTTCCTGTAGCCAACTCTCTATTTCCAGACCTCTTGTCCCATGGTCACAATTTTAAACTCAATCATGTTGTCAAAGAATAGGACACAATGATCACTGGCTCCTAGTAGTATTTATCTGTATATTAATAAGACCCAACCAATTGTAAATAATTCGGTTAATCTAGTATTTTGTGTTTTTTCTTAACAGATGCTAATTGAGGATGAAGGACCAAATTCACCAACCTGGGAGAATACTCCAGTCACTGCTCGCAACCCTAAGGTAAGTCCATGAGTAGCTGTGAATCAGACGAAAATCTGTTAAAGCTTTGGGTATCTTTATTTTCAAGTATAGAGCTATAGTTTTATTTTTAATGATACATGTACAAATCATAAAGCTTTGTGCATATCTTAATTTGTTTATCTTTGCTGCATAATTTATTAATGTATTTACAGTACAATACATACTAAGCAATCTCACCTAACTAATTTTTTCTAGTTAGGCTACGCTGTGTAGATTTTTGGACTTGCTAATTATTCCTAAATTAATTACAATTACTGTTAGTTATAATATAATTTTACTTATTATCATTAATTTCTGTTGGGAGCCTCGGAGGCTCCCTGGAGCTATCGGACTGATATTAGCTATATTAGTCTGGGGCTTCAGTCATGGTTAGGTACCCAGAAAGGTAAGCACCCCAAAACAAACCCCAACTGGTAGAAAATATCAACCCAAGACCAAACAGAGCCCAATAATCCCCCCCCCCCCTTTCCAAGAAAACAAGGTAACAAGTAAATCGTCATCAAACTGACGCGCTGCTCGTTCGCACCCTCCCCCTTCGACAGGAAGAGGGGGAGGCCCCCGCCCACCCGAGCCGGCCGCCTGCTTACCAGTTCGTTGACTGAAGCCAGCTGGGGCTGACGTCTACTTTGGACTCTTATTTCCTGTTAGGATTTTACCCTAGCGGTTGTGCCTTCTGTGTGTGTTGGGGCATTGTGCAGGAGTACCAGTACTTCAGGCTGCATGCACTTAGGGTTATCTTCCCTAGGCACCCTGTAAGTACAGTATCCACTCGATTTAATGGCCTATATGGGGCTGTACCCTGGTCGTTATTTCTGGGGCTCCTGTATTTCTGAAGTTAAGATGTCAGTAATTTTTCAAGTAACATCAGGTAGGATATATTTTATACTCTTTAACAAAGATTAAATAAAGTTCATTGTGTAATTGTGTTCCAAGTTAGTTTGTGTTAGTGCCCATTCTATCACAGGTTGCAATTAATAATTCCTTCATATGACAAGTTGGATAACACAAGTGGACAAGTAGACCACACAACAAGCGAACCATATTAACCAAACACTTCCCTCCCTCACCACCACTCTTCCCTCACCCCCACTCTTCCCTCACCCCCACCACCACCACCCTTCCTCACTGCTCTATCCCTCCCTGCCTCTCCCCCTCAATTCCTCCATCACTGCCTCTCCCCCTCAGTGCCTCCCTCCATTACTGCCACCAATCCATCCCTCAATGCCTCCCTCCATCACTGTCTCTTCCCCTCAATGCCTCCCTCCATCACTGCCTTCCATCCCTCCCCCCATCACCACCTCTCCCCCTCAATGCTTCACTCCATCACTGCCTCCCACTATAAAACATGTTAATGATTAATAATGTATACTAATATACGAAAATAACATTTTGGCATAAATATTTTACAACTAAGATTAAAAATTTTAATACAGATGGGTGAGATCAGGTTTGGCAACCATCACGTGGTTAGCAAACCTTCCCTCCTCTGCCTGCCTCCCTCACCACCAACATCAACACTCTCTGCCTGCCTCCCTCACTATCACCATCCCCAAACACTTTCCCTGCCTGCCTCCTTCACCACCACCACCCCCAACACTCTCCCTGCCTGTCTCCCTCACCACCACCACCACCCTCAACATTCTCCCTGCATACCTCCCTCACCCCCAACACCACCCCAACACTCTCCCTGCCTCTCCCACTCAATGCCTCCCTCCATCAATCATTGCCTCCCGTCCCTCCCTCAATGCCTTGGAGGTCGGTGGCCATGTGAGGGCCCGCCAGTGTCAAAACAAACCCAATACCGACCTTTGGTAATATCGACAGCCAGACCGGTATATGAGCCTCCAGATACCAGTCTCTCAAATCGGTCGTTATTACCGGCAGGTCGGTATAAAAGAGGCCGTTAAATTGAGTGGATACTACTTTTTTTGGCACATCTTTTGGGTCTCGGGATTATTTTCCCTGGAGCCTTCAGGTTCTTACTCCCATAGGGGTTGCTGTTGCTTGGCATCAACTTTGCCCTTGGGGTCAGTGGGGGTCTTGGTGCTTTTGTTCGCCCTGGGTAAGGAGTGTTTGTTGTTGGTTGGGGCGCATGGTGCTGCACAGCTCTCGTACTAGTGACAGTCGTCTCTTTCTCTGGCCCCCCTGTTGTTGTGGTGCACTTTCGTGGTTTTCTTTTCATTCCATTTCAAGTTCTTTTCTGCCTGGTGGAGGGCTGCCTGCCTTCCCATTTGGTACTCCTAGGTTCCGTTTGGTGGTCCTCCACTCGGTCCCTGAGGTTGCTTCCTTCATAGGGGTCAATTTGCCCAGAAAATAGACAGGGTTCAACTAGCTTTGCAGCACCAGTGCCTGGGCTTCCTGTTGGGATATCTCCCCCTGCAGGCCCTGGAAACCCCAGTCGGGGCTCGGGTGACTATAGATGTCTTCCAAGTCCCATCTCACATGTGCGAGTTTGCAGATTGTTCGTTGCCCTTGTCTCAGGGTGGTGATCATCTGTTTTGCCTCTGTCATGCTGCTTGTGTGCGGGACTTGTTCCCTGCTCATTCTCCATTTTACCCATTCTTCTTCGGGAGATCTTAGGGGTCAAGCGGCTATCACGTTGCATGATAGGTTTTGTTGTCGCAACAGGTTGGTCGGTTGGTCTCCTGCTTGAGTGCCCCGGGACTGTCCTGTTTTGGTTTTAGGGACCGAAACCAGCTGGGGTTGACTTCTGTTGACTTTGGGGCGTTGGTCGTTTCGACCTTGGTTCAGTCTGTGCCCTCGAGTCCTTCCCTGGTTGGTGTGGTATGTCCTGCTACTCCCTCCCTGCTGTCGGCTCCCAAATGTCTGAGTGTTTCCGAGTTGGGGCGGGGTTTAGTTGGTGATGAGACTTGGGTGGCCCCAGGGTCTGCACCATTTAACCACTTAACTGTGCCAACTGAGTATTCTCGGTCGGCGGGAAACTGCGCCAACCGAGAAAACTTTTTTTGATTTTTCAGTACCAATTCTAAATGTGTACGAGGTTGGTTGTGTACGAAATGGACTCTTAGGACCTCCAGTGAGAGGCAGCCATCTTGGAAAAAATTCCCAGAATGCCCTAGGGCTGCTGGCTGGGTTAGTACTGGGTGAGCAACCATGGGTGGCGCACGAGCCTCTGGCTCCCAAACACCTGTCCGACGCGGTGTTGAAAGATAACGCTCTGTCGGTGAAATTCAAATCTTATTGTTTGAAGAACATAAGGGTCATAATATTGGTGAAGCTAGGTGCAATAAGGACCCAACACAAAGGTCGGATGCAAGTGATACAGCACCTATGAGGACGATATAGAGAGCGTATCCAGTTGTAGCTCTGAGCGTCACCCTTGCAATCCTATGCTATCTCCAATTTATTTAGATGATACATAGATGAATCGTTTTCTGCGTTCAGTGATGATGCATCTGATACAAGTAGCGTAGATGAACAGTGTTAGCGGCTTCCATGGTGGTGTTTTCCATACAACCCGTTCTCGCAAATTCGTAAAGTCAATATTGACTTATTAACTACGTGCATAGGTGATATACTAAACATAATAGATACCCCTTAAAAAGATTCATAGAAAACACCGACCTTACCTAACCTTGTTAGTATCTTAAGATAAGCATCTTATTGCTTCGTAATTACAATTATTACTTAACCTATACCTATTATTGGTTAGGTAATAATTGTAATTACGAAGCAATAAGATGCTTATCTTAACATACTAAGTAGGTTAGGTAAGGTCGGTGTTTTCTATGAATCTTTTTAAGGGTGTCTATTATGTTAAGTATGTCACCTATGCACATATTTAATAAGTCAATATTGACTTATTAAATTTGCGAGAACGGGTTGTTTCCATAGATATTTTCAAGAATACCTAAATCTCTTCCTAACTGACGGACACTCTTTGAGGCTAGCTGAATCTCTTTCTGACTGACGGACACTCTTTGAGGCTAGCTGAATCTCTTCCTGTGTGGGACCATACAAAGCGATCTTTTCAAGACTACCTTACAAATTGATCTTTTCCTATAATCATTTCAATACTACCTTATGCTTTACAAGCTTGGCTGCATACAATCTACAAGTACTAAAGCCAAGGGTGTACACGAGTGCATTATTTGCAAGCACACAGAATGAAGAAATGGGAAGCGAAAATTTATCTGTACTTGGTGCAACGTGAGCAAAGTCGTGCTGTGTACCATGGACTACTTCATTGATTATTACTCGCTTCCAAAGTACTAAGTGTGTAATACAGTGTGTTACTGTGTAAATAGTGTGTGAAACTGTACATATTGTAATTTTAGTGAATTTTTAACAGGTAATATTGCAACAATAGACATTTATTTTGGACACATTACTGACACATGTATCACAGTTCCATGGAACATTATGAACGTTCTACTGTATACATAGTGTAAAGGACACAAATATGCATCATATACGATAAAAAAAAAACACATTGGAAATACATCAAAAAAATAATTGAAAATATATTTGTGGCAACACCCGGTGCTTGAATGGCCCGCTCGACCGTGTCTGGGCGATTCACGCTTGGGTGACCAGGCCCTGATGACGTCACAGCGCACCTTGTCCACGTCTCCACAGCCAAAGTAAGTGGAATTTGGTTTTTATTTTTACATAGACATGTTCAGGGAAGGGAATTTATCATTTTACGAAGAAAAAATAATTTGGGGGGAACACTTTATTTCATGCGCACTGGGGGAATTTCACAATAAACTCAGCGCAGCACGATGGTTAATAAGGGAAGGGAGGCCTTTGAACCTGATCCTCCCGCCGAGGCTTCTGGGTCTTCCCAGCAGACCTCCTTCTTTGTTGCCGTTTCTTCAAGGATGGAGGGCGTTGAGGACAGCTCTGCCCCGGGGCCTTGGCTGGGGGTTCCTGGGGCTTTGGGGGGGAGAGCCCACTAGAGCGTTTGGCCTGTTTGCCCCTGGCTTGGGCCTTTGGGCCTTCTGAACTGGGGTTTC